TAAGTGACTGATTTCATACATCAACAAAAGGTTATTTATTGTTGTAGTGGTAGTAATAATACTAATGATGATAATGATAATAATAATAATAATAGTAATAATAAAAACTGATAATAAAATAAAATCCTAATAATTTTTTTATTACTATTATTAAAGAGTGATGTCAATAATACCTTTAGTAAAATGTAAAAAATATATAAGTAAAAATAATAGCGATTTATGAATCTTTAATATTTATTTAATGATAACTATATTTTCTTACAGTGAAATATTCCAATGTATAATATATTTATTAATATTATTAATTATCATTATTATAAATAATGATAATAACAATAATTTAATAATAAAAATTACAGTAATAATAATAGTAGTAATAATAATTCTATATTATTATAAACAATATTAATGATAATAACACTGATTTTTACAATACAATTTAGCATGCGTTTATAATTATTAATGATATAAAAAATTATTAGGTATTCATCATAATTATTATTGAAGTGAAGTCTTGTGTGTGCAGACTGTGAAAGCACTGAATCACTTGAAAGAAAACTTGAAGATCATCCACAGAGGTGAGTTTCCCAGCTGAAGCAATTACAGCATTAAATCACTTGTTTGTTTCCTGACGCTGGAGTGAGTGAAGGCTGGGCTTGTTTTCAGACATCAAACCCTCCAACATTCTCCTGGACCGAAACGGCAACATTAAACTGTGTGATTTCGGCATCAGTGGACAGCTGGTCGACTCCATCGCCAAGACCAGAGACGCCGGCTGTCGACCGTACATGGCTGTGAGTGACGCTCTCTAATGATGATGATGAATGTGATGGTGATGATGAATGTGATTGTGATGATGATGAATGTGATGGTGATGATGAATGTGATGGTGATGATGAATGTGATTGTGATGACGATGAATGTGATGATGGTGATGATGAATGTGATTGTGATGACGATGAATGTGATAATGGTGATGATGAATGTGATGGTGGTGATGATGAATGTGATGGTGATGATGAATGTGATGGTGGTGATGATGAATGTGATGGTGATGATGATGATGAATGTGATGGTGATGGTGATGATGATGATGAATGTGATGGTGATGATGATGATGAATGTGATGGTGATGATGATGATGAATGTGATGATGATGATGAATGTGATGGTGATGATGAATGTGATTGTGATGATGATGAATGTGATGGTGGTGGTGATGATGAATGTGATGGTGATGATGAATGTGATGAATGTGATGGTGATGATGAATGTGATGAATGTGATGGTGATGATGAATGTGATTGTGATGACGATGAATGTGATGGTGATGGTGATGATGAATGGTGATGATGATGAATGTGATGGTGATGATGAATGTGATGATGATGATGATGATGATGAATGTGATGGTGATGGTGATGATGATGATGAATGTGATGGTGATGATGATGATGATGAATGTGATGATGATGATGAATGTGATGGTGATGATGAATGTGATTATGATGATGATGAATGTGATGGTGGTGGTGATGATGAATGTGATGGTGATGACGATGAATGTGATGGTGGTGGTGATGATGAATGTGATGGTGACGATGAATGTGATGGTGATGATGAATGTGATGGTGATGATGAATGTGATGGTGATGATGAATGTGATTGTGATGATGATGAATGTGATTGTGATGATGATGAATGTGATGGTGGTGGTGATGATGAATGTGATGGTGATGATGAATGTGATGGTGATGATGAATGTGATGGTGGTGATGATGAATGTGATGGTGATGATGATGATGATGATGAATGTGATGGTGATGGTGATGATGATGATGAATGTGATGGTGATGATGATGATGAATGTGATGGTGATGATGATGATGAATGTGATGATGATGATGAATGTGATGGTGATGATGAATGTGATTGTGATGATGATGAATGTGATTGTGATGATGATGAATGTGATGGTGGTGGTGATGATGAATGTGATGGTGATGATGAATGTGATGGTGATGATGAATGTGATGGTGATGATGAATGTGATGAATGTGATGGTGATGATGAATGTGATGAATGTGATGGTGATGATGAATGTGATTGTGATGACGATGAATGTGATGGTGATGGTGATGATGAATGGTGATGATGATGAATGTGATGGTGATGACGATGAATGTGATGGTGATGGTGATGATGATGAATGTGATGGTGATGATGAATGTGATGATGATGATGATGATGAATGTGATGGTGATGGTGATGATGATGATGAATGTGATGGTGATGATGATGATGAATGTGATGATGATGATGAATGTGATGGTGATGATGAATGTGATGGTGATGATGAATGTGATGGTGATGATGAATGTGATTGTGATGATGATGAATGTGATGGTGGTGGTGATGATGAATGTGATGGTGATGATGATGAATGTGATGGTGGTGGTGATGATGAATGTGATGGTGACGATGAATGTGATGGTGATGATGAATGTGATGGTGATGATGAATGTGATGGTGATGATGAATGTGATGGTGATGGTGATGATGAATGTGATGGTGATGATGAATGTGATTGTGATGATGATGAATGTGATTGTGATGATGATGAATGTGATGGTGGTGGTGAGGATGAATGTGATGGTGATGATGAATGTGATGGTGATGATGAATGTGATGGTGGTGATGATGAATGTGATGGTGATGATGATGATGATGAATGTGATGGTGATGGTGATGATGATGATGAATGTGATGGTGATGATGATGATGAATGTGATGGTGATGATGATGATGAATGTGATGATGATGATGAATGTGATGGTGATGATGAATGTGATGGTGATGATGAATGTGATGGTGATGATGAATGTGATTGTGATGATGATGAATGTGATGGTGGTGGTGATGATGAATGTGATGAATGTGATGGTGATGATGAATGTGATTGTGATGACGATGAATGTGATGGTGATGGTGATGATGAATGTTGATGATGATGAATGTGATGGTGATGATGAATGTGATGATGATGATGATGATGAATGTGATGGTGATGATGATGATGAATGTGATGGTGATGATGATGATGAATGTGATGATGATGATGAATGTGATGGTGATGATGAATGTGATGGTGATGATGAATGTGATGGTGATGATGAATGTGATGGTGATGATGAATGTGATTGTGATGATGATGAATGTGATGGTGGTGGTGATGATGAATGTGATGGTGATGACGATGAATGTGATGGTGATGACGATGAATGTGATGGTGATGACGATGAATGTGATGGTGATTATGAATGTGATTGTGATGATGATGAATGTGATTGTGATGATGATGAATGTGATTGTGATGATGATGAATGTGATGGTGGTGGTGATGATGAATGTGATGGTGACGATGAATGTGATGGTGATGATGAATGTGATGAATGTGATGGTGATGATGATGAATGTGATTGTGATGATGATGAATGTGATGGTGGTGGTGATGATGAATGTGATGGTGATGATGAATGTGATGGTGATGATGAATGTGATGAATGTGATGGTGATGATGAATGTGATTGTGATGACGATGAATGTGATTGTGATGATGAATGTGATGGTGATGATGAATGTGATGGTGATGATGAATGTGATAGTGGTGATGATGAATGTGATGGTGATGATGAATGTGATTGTGATGATGATGAATGTGATTGTGATGATGATGAATGTGATGGTGGTGGTGATGATGAATGTGATGCTGATGATGAATGTGATGGTGGTGATGATGAATGTGATGGTGGTGATGATGAATGTGATGGTGATGACGATGAATGTGATGGTGATGACGATGAATGTGATGGTGATGATGAATGTGATTGTGATGATGAATGTGATGGTGATGATGAATGTGATTGTGATGATGAATGTGATTGTGATGACGATGAATGTGATTGTGATGATGAATGTGATGGTGATGACGATGAATGTGATGGTGATGATGAATATGATGGTGATGATGAATGTGATGGTGATGATGAATGTGATTGTGATGACGATGAATGTGATGGTGATGATGAATGTGATGGTGATGATGAATGTGATGGTGATGATGAATGTGATTGTGATGACGATGAATGTGATTGTGATGATGAATGTGATGATGATGATGAATGTGATGGTGATGACGATGAATGTGATTGTGATGATGAATGTGATGGTGATGATGATGAATGTGATGGTGATGATGATGAATGTGATGATGATGATGATGATGAATGTGGTGGTGATGATGATGATGAAGAAGATGTGTTGTGGTGTTTTCAGCCGGAGCGGATCGACCCCAGTGCCTCCAGACAGGGTTACGATGTTCGCTCAGACGTCTGGAGTTTGGGAATCACGTTGGTACGTCTCCACTCACTCTCTTCAGGTCCTGATGATGTAAGAGTGTGTGACGCAGGTGTGTGTGTGTGTTGCAGTACGAGCTGGCGACGGGACGCTTCCCCTACCCCCGCTGGAACAGTGTGTTTGATCAGCTGACTCAGGTGGTGAAGGGAGACCCTCCTCAGCTCAGCAGCTCCGAGGAACGCCAGTTCTCTCCCAAATTCATCCAGTTCGTCAATCTATGGTGAGCTTCCAAACCTGGGCCTGAACGATCATGTGATCACCTCATCATGTGACACGTCTGTTTGATCATGTGATCACCTCATCATGTGACACGTCTGTTTGATCATGTGATCACCTCATCTTGTGACATGTCTGTGTGATCATGTGACACGTCTGTTTGATCATGTGATCACCTCATGTGACACGTCTGTTTGATCATGTGATCACCTCATCTTGTGACATGTCTGTGTGATCATGTGACACGTCTGTTTGATCATGTGATCACCTCATCATGTGACATGTCTGATCATGTGATCATCTCATCATGTGACATGTCTGATCATGTGATCACCTCATCATGTGACACGTCTGTGTGATTATGTGACACGTCTGTTTGATCATGTGACTCTGCCTTCCTACAGCCTTACGAAGGACGAGTCAAAAAGGCCAAAGTACAGAGAACTGCTGGTACGTCAATCCTGCCGGAGCTTTTCAACCTTTACATTGTGCTTTTTAATGAAAACATTTAAAAATACTTGTGTACAATTATATATTTTTAGGGATGCACTATTGGATTATTGGTCAGTATTCTTTTTTTTTATTGCATATTTAATTGTACATGCTAATTTTCCCTATTTTTTACATGTAGATGACCTTTTCTGCTCACATAGTTCATCTTCAAGAACACTAAAATTGACACTGACATATGCAATCTTTAGCAGGTCTAAAAATTAATATTCTTTTGTACTTTACGTTATAATGGCGGGATGCACTCATAGGATTTAAAGTGATTCTATTTTTTCAATTTAGTTATTTAGACAAAAAAAAATACTTTGAAACATCGACAGTGTTATTGAACTGAATAATGAGCTTCAGAATTTTCCATATTCAATGAAGTTAGCATCAGTGATTCTGTTTATTACTGTGAAACTGTAGAAATAAAGCGGACTCAACGTTCACCGTTGGCCGTAGCCTGAAGGTAGTGATGTAGGACTGTAATATGGATGTGTGTGTGTGTGTGTCCTGCAGAAGCATCCGTTCATCCTGATGTACGAGGAGCGAGTGGTGGACGTGGCGTTGTACGTGTGTAAGCTCCTGGATCAGATGCCAGTGTCTCCCAGTTCTCCCATGTATGTTGACTGATGGTGAGCGGTCTGTAACTCGCACGGCCCGGTCACCATGTGGTGTTCATACAGCGTCAGCCCGTAACCAGCCCACATTTCACTGCGCTTCCCCCGTCACGGCCGGCCTCAGCGCTTGCTCTCTGACGTCAGGCACCAGCGCTTCTTCTGCACGGCGAACACTGGCTCCTCCTCCGCGCCTCGCCTCGTCTCCAGAGCAAACATTCGGAAATCAAGAACAAGGACTGAACATAGGAAGATTTGTTTAAAAATGTGCTTAAAACAAGAACAAATATCTTGTTTTCCCTTTGGATGAAGATCATTCTTCTGACTCCGTTGGCAGATTTTGATTTGGTTTTAAGCACAAACATTTTTCGCTTCATTTTGATTGAAATTTCCGAAAACAAGACTTAATATCTTCTGTAATTTCCCTTCTCCAGTAATTGTGTCTTGATTTAAGAATGTTTGGATGTTTGTGCTGGGAAGCGAGACAGAAACACTGAGGAAGAACATCATCATCTTCAGTCTGGAGCCGTCGCAGAGCAAGCGCTGAATGCAGGATTTGTGCTCATGTGTGAAATGAGAGTCTTGGTTAAGGGTCTGAGTATTTCACATCGTTTATGTGTGTGAACACATGATTGAAAGTCCCAAAACATTTTGTGCAATAAGAACGGGCTCTCATTTAAAAGCCATTTACATCACGGTATGTAAACAAGCTTCAGATTCAGCAAAACAGCCTTTCTGTGTGTGTGTGTGTGTGAAATCATTTCGGAATATTAACAAGCAAAACTTGAATTTGCTCATTTAAGAAGACAAAGACCATCAGATCAAGTGTAATAGTTGCTGATGTAGATGTTACATGTCTTCATGTGTGTTTGAACATCTACATCACGTCACTCTATTTAATGACTCGTATGCAAAGGTCTTGTTCTGCATCAAAGAAATGTTAAAGTAGCTTTACTTGCTCAATATGCAATATAACGTGGCGATGGCGGGAGCGTCTCGTGTTGGACGTGCAGCGCTTCTCATCCACTGTAAATGTGTTTCATTCACACACTTTTCTTTGGACTCACTCGTTTCTCAGAAGCTCGTCCTCGCATGATTTCTACAGATCCGGCATGACGGTTTACGACCCGCCTCACATAGTTCATCCATAGGTCACTTGTTTTAAAAGATGTACAGCGGTTATCAAACATTTTGATTGTATAATAATAATACGGCACCGGATAGTGTTCAGAGAGCTTTGAATCGCCACATCATGTGACTCTTTAAAAGAGTCGACCGTTCAGCAGAAAGACGGAAAATCCTCCTAAACTCAAACTAAGAAATAATAGTGCAAACATTGCAACTCAAGAATGTTTAGTGCGGAGAGTAAGATAATTGTAAGAGCGATGTGTATTATTATATTGTATCAAGAGTGGGAAATATGTACAGGAAAAAATGATCACTGTGAAAATATTTTACGTGTATGGTGAGAATCTGTAAAAATTGTACCATGGAAATGTGCAGGGATAATGCCGTGTATGTTCAGGTTTGGAAACATCACCCTCGTCACATGATTCATGAGGACGCTTATGAATATGATGTGATTGTTGACATTATTGTCATTCTGCTCTGTTAGATCTGAACACAGCGATGGGTTTAATGCTATAAAATAAAACCAATACTCAGCCATTCCCTGTCCGTCTGGTTTGTGAACGCATGCATATGAAGTTTATTTTTAAGTGACATCATTGTGAACGTTTAATCTAGTAACATTTAATAATAAGGGTTCAAAATCCCCCTTTATCAATCATTTATCTCTTAAAACTCATCTTTGATCATCAAAATGCCGTGTTTTTTCCTTGAAAATAATTCTTTGTCTTAAAATATCTTGAATGTAACTTGACACCCTTGCCTCATTCTATGAATATGCAAATGACCCCGCCTCCACTCACTCCCTCCGCTCAGAGATCCACTGGTTGATGATCACATGTTGACCTGATTGGTTACAAGGTCGTTTGTGACGTCAGAAACACCAGCGATTTCAAACCGTGTTTTTGAGGCTGTCTTTGGTTCACTGCAGTTTTAAGGAGGAAATACTCAGCAATGCTGTCGACTTATGAACTTACACATGGTGTGTCTTAAAGCGTATTAAAAACACCACATAAACAACATTAAAAGCTGGATATTCTCCACAGGGGGACTTTAACATTAGTTAACGAGAAATAACAATGAAAAGTACTTCTACTGCATTAATTTACCCATAGTTGTGTCTGTTAACATGCATGTCCGGTTAATAAATGCTTCATGTATGTAAAGCTCATCGTTTGTTAATGAGTTTAGTTTGAGCAGACGACACTGGTGTTTGTTTCATGATGGTTTATTGAACTCTCGTTACAGCGGTGTAGAAGAATACTGGGAGTGTTTATATTGAACGCTTCAGTGGCCAAGCAATACAAAAGCTTTTTGTCATACGTATATATTTTCCCCAGGAGAAATCAAAAGAACAAGAAATCAGACACACACGTGAACATTTGAGCGTCAGGAGGAAGAGAAGCATCGATCTGGGCTGCAAACATAGAAAAATAAAATCTTTCAGAGGACGTGACATTCTTTACACAACTTTACACACACACGCACACATTTAACCTTCATTAAAAATACTGTATGAAACTGCTTGATAATGTCTAGGATTGTTTCTGGACAACATTACAGTTTTATAAAAATCTGCATCTACAATGATGCTTGATGTGTAAAAATAGAGTCTCGTATCAAAACTGAGTCTTGAATTTAAAACAGCCTGTTGTCTTTAATGCCCTTCATGCTTATTCATTCTGGACTTAAAGCTCAGGGTTTATTGCTTACAAAAGTATTTATATAAAACTCTGCTTCATGTGTTTAAGGCTTCACAGAGATCACACACACACACACAGTCTGTACATGAAGGCATCAGTGGTGTGAAATATGATTAGAGACGGGAGAAAAACGAAACATCTTTGACCAGCTTTATGAAAATAAGAAAATATATTCACAGTTTTAGCTTTTGGTGAGCTAATATTATTTATTCAGTGACTGGTATTAAAGTCTCTAAACTAAAGATTCTATTTCAAAAGATTAAAAAAACAGGTTACGTCCCAAATTTACCACAGACAAAAAGAACAATACATTTTCACAGTTGACCTTATATATTATAGATTTCCTTTTTCACAAGTGCTGGGAATCACTCGCTGTTTGATTGTCAGATCGCTGTTTTAGATTCATATAATGTGGATTATTTGAGAGAAACAGGGATGTTAAAACTGAAGATTATATGACAGATCCATAAACTACCCTCATCACTCTGTCAGAAACTTCACCGTTTCGTCTTTAATAAAAAGGAATTTCTCATAAATATGTCAAATATGCCGATTGAAAGAAAAGGTTGAAATAAATACATCAAAAGAGAAAGAAAACAACAACAAAAAAAGAGATAATGTTCAAAATAACAGGTGACAGTAATAATAATAATCCTCATGCAAAACAGACTTTGGGAAAGATGCTCGCAATATATAAAACTTATATATATATATATATATAAAAAGACTGTCTTTTGACCAGAGAATAATTCTCCAGTGATTATGAAGAGTTGAGATTTGTGGGGGTTTTTTCTGAATCTAAAGAGAAAATACTCTCACGTAAAGCGCCGAGTAAAAACCAAAGGCTTGCGCTTCCTAAATAAATTAATGACTGATGATGATGATGATGGGGAAGGAACAGGGAATGATCTCAGAAAGCGTGACACGTACTACGGTAAGCTCAAGCTGTGAAGTGTGTATTAATATTTACAGTAGCACAGGTGATGTTATACTGGTGTGATGCATTAATGTGTGTGTTTACAGACGGACACGGACGTCCCAGCTCGACTCCACTGGGGTTTAGAGCGTCTTTCTGTTTCCAGTCATCAACAATCCTTACGCAGAATCCAGAGGTTTTGAAGGAGCGTGATTAAACCGCATTAAAACACTCCAGAATCCGGACTGTTGACATCGGCCCGTTCCTGTGGAAGTGTGTTTCTGCACGGAATAACACAATAAAAAGGCAACTGCGACCTTTTATCTCTCAATTCTTTTTCTTTTGAGAAAGTTTATGTCGCGATCACAAGTTAAATGATTAGTTCACTTCAGAATTAAAATGTCCTGATAATTTACTCTCCCCCACGCCATACAAGATGTTGGGGGGCGATATGGCAAAAATATCATATCACGATTTTTATCACGATCCTCTTTCATGTTGGTTCAAACAAAGAAAGGTCACGTGTGTTCTTTTTGTAACTGGCGTTTTACACGTTCTCTCTGTAAACACTGGGTCTGTTCTTCCGCCTACGTCACGCTTGACCTTTCACCCTGATGACGTAATGTGTGTCGCATCACAGCTCGTGCAAGACGAGCATTAGTGGTTATAAAGTATATAAATGTGTATTGTGTTATAAATGTCCGCTGGTTTGTCTAGATCAGACTCTTATTCCTCGGCTGGATCGTGTCGAGACTTTGAAGCTGCACTGAAACTCACATCTGGACCTTCGACCCGTTGGACCCCATTGAAGTCACTATATGGAGAAACCCTGGAGTGTGTTCCTCAAAAACCTTCATTTCTTTCCACTGAAGAAATATCATTAAAGCTAATATCATTGTAAATGATACAAGGCATCCTTTATCTTATGCTTTTGAATAACTGCCATCTGGCTGACGTTACTGTGTTCCCCGATGCATGAAAAACAGGTCCAAACTATCTTTATCCCCCAAGCAATTCGATTTTTAAATTCTTCTTCTAGTGTAGATTGATAGTCAGTGGGTCTGGTTATCTTAAATTAGATTTATTTGTTTTCATTTATTGTTTGTATATGCCAACTGTGATTCTTTAAATTCTTGCCAAATCTGTGTGAGCTCACTGCAAACTACTTTCCCTACGGGGACAAATAAACACGACTACTACTAGAACATCTTGGATGACGTGGGGGAGAGAAAATTATCAGGAGATTTTAATTCTGAAGAACTAATCCTTTAACATCTCAGAATTGTGAGATAAGTGTCGATGACTCCCGTTGGGCCGGTTCCTCCTCACCAGTGATCGAGGTGCAGGTCCATGGCAGAGTTCAGGCTGATGTCGGTGACGTCCAGGAACTCGGTGTTGAAGATGTTCGGTCCGCTGAGAGGAAGAGCGTTCTGGTTCTGGAAGGAGTTTGGCGGAGTCAGATCCAGCCACTCCATGGTTTCCCAAGGCGAGTCCGTGAAGGTCATCCCGAGTCCCTGAGTCTCCATCTTCCCGATCACAGGCGTGTCCATCATCAGTCTGTCGTTGAATCCTTCGCCTGCCTCGTCGGAGTGTGTGTCAGTGTGTGTTCGGCTCAGCAGTGCCTCCAGGTGGCCGTCTCCGGGCTCATACGTACACATGTGACTGTAGTGCCGGTGCTGGAACTTCGGGGAAACTGTAAGGTGAGGCACAACTTTGGTTACAGGAGGCTCTTCTTTGGCGTTAGCTGGCATTTCTTTAAAAAGAAGGAGGAGGACATCACAGCACAAACACTAACTCAACACCATCACAACATCTGAGTGTGTGAATAACTAACTCAACACCGTCACAACATCTGAGTGTGTGAAACACTAACTCAACACCAGCTCAAGATCTGAGTGTGTGAAACACTAACTCAACACCGTCACATCATCTGAGTGTGTGAAACACTAACTCAACATCTGAGTGTGTGAAACACTAACTCAACATCTGAGTGTGTGAAACACTAACTCAACACCGTCACAACATCTGAGGGTGTGAAACACTAACTCAACATCTGAGGGTGTGAAACACTAACTCAACATCTGAGTGTGTGAAACACTAACTCAACACCGTCACAACATCTGAGTGTGTGAAACACTAACTCAACATCTGAGTGTGTGAAACACTAACTCAACACCGTCACAACATCTGAGTGTGTGAAACACTAACTCAACACCGTCACAACATCTGAGGGTGTGAAACACTAACTCAACATCTGAGTGTGTGAAACACTAACTCAACATCTGAGTGTGTGAAACACTAACTCAACACCGTCACAACATCTGAGGGTGTGAAACACTAACTCAACATCTGAGTGTGTGAAACACTAACTCAACATCTGAGGGTGTGAAACACTAACTCAACATCTGAGTGTGTGAAACACTAACTCAACACCGTCACAACATCTGAGTGTGTGAAACACTAACTCAACATCTGAGTGTGTGAAACACTAACTCAACATCTGAGTGTTTGAAACACTAACTCAACATCTGAGTGTGTGAAACACTAACTCAACATCTGAGTGTTTGAAACACTAACTCAACATCTGAGTGTGTGAAACACTAACTCAACATCTGAGTGTTTGAAACACTAACTCAACACCGTCTCAACATCTGAGTGTGTGAAACACTAACTCAACATCTGAGTGTGTGAAACACTAACTCAACATCTGAGTGTGTGAAACACTAACTCAACACCGTCACAACATCTGAGTGTGTGAAACACTAACTCAACATCTGCGTGTGTGAAACACTAACTCAACACCGTCACATCATCTGAGTGTGTGAAACACTAACTCAACACCGTCTCAACATCTGAGTGTGTGAAACACTAACTCAACATCTGAGTGTGTGAAACACTAACTCAACACCGTCACAACATCTGAGGGTGTGAAACACTAACTCAACATCTGAGTGTGTGAAACACTAACTCAACACCGTCACAACATCTGAGTGTGTGAAACACTAACTCAACATCTGAGTGTGTGAAACACTAACTCAACACCGTCACAACATCTGAGGGTGTGAAACACTAACTCAACATCTGAGTGTGTGAAACACTAACTCAACACCGTCACAACATCTGAGGGTGTGAAACACTAACTCAACATCTGAGTGTGTGAAACACTAACTCAACACCGTCACAACATCTGAGGGTGTGAAACACTAACTCAACATCTGAGTGTGTGAAACACTAACTCAACACCGTCACAACATCTGAGTGTGTGAAACACTAACTCAACATCTGAGTGTGTGAAACACTAACTCAACACCGTCTCAACATCTGAGTGTGTGAAACACTAACTCAACATCTGAGTGTGTGAAACACTAACTCAACACCGTCACAACATCTGAGTGTGTGAAACACTAACTCAACATCTGAGTGTTTGAAACACTAACTCAACACCGTCTCAACATCTGAGTGTGTGAAACACTAACTCAACATCTGAGTGTGTGAAACACTAACTCAACATCTGAGTGTGTGAAACACTAACTCAACATCTGAGTGTGTGAAACACTAACTCAACATCTGAGTGTGTGAAACACTAACTCAACACCGTCTCAACATCTGAGTGTGTGAAACACTAACTCAACATCTGAGTGTGTGAAACACTAACTCAACACCGTCACAACATCTGAGTGTGTGAAACACTAACTCAACATCTGAGTGTGTGAAACACTAACTCAACATCTGAGTGTTTGAAACACTAACTCAACACCGTCTCAACATCTGAGTGTGTGAAACACTAACTCAACATCTGAGTGTGTGAAACACTAACTCAACATCTGAGTGTGTGAAACACTAACTCAACATCTGAGTGTTTAAAACACTAACTCAACATCTGAGTGTGTGAAACACTAACTCAACACCGTCACAACATCTGAGTGTGTGAAACACTAACTCAACACCGTCACAACATCTGAGTGTGTGAAACACTAACTCAACATCTGAGTGTGTGAAACACTAACTCAACATCTGAGTGTGTGAAACACTAACTCAACATCTGAGTGTTTGAAACACTAACTCAACATCTGAGTGTGTGAAACACTAACTCAACACCGTCACAACATCTGAGTGTGTGAAACACTAACTCAACATCTGATTGTGTGAAACACTAACTCAACACCGTCACAACATCTGAGTGTGTGAAACACTAACTCAACACCGTCTCAACATCTGAGTGTGTGAAACACTAACTCAACATCTGAGTGTGTGAAACACTAACTCAACACCGTCACAACATCTGAGGGTGTGAAACACTAACTCAACATCTGAGTGTGTGAAACACTAACTCAACACCGTCACAACATCTGAGGGTGTGAAACACTAACTCAACATCTGAGTGTGTGAAACACTAACTCAACACCGTCACAACATCTGAGGGTGTGAAACACTAACTCAACACCGTCACAACATCTGAGTGTGTGAAACACTAACTCAACACCGTCACAACATCTGAGTGTGTGAAACACTAACTCAACATCTGAGTGTGTGAAACACTAACTCAACACCGTCTCAACATCTGAGTGTGTGAAACACTAACTCAACATCTGAGTGTGTGAAACACTAACTCAACACCGTCACAACATCTGAGTGTGTGAAACACTAACTCAACATCTGAGTGTGTGAAACACTAACTCAACACCGTCACAACATCTGAGTGTGTGAAACACTAACTCAACACCGTCACAACATCTGAGTGTGTGAAACACTAACTCAACACCGTCACAACATCTGAGTGTGTGAAACACTAACTCAACATCTGAGTGTGTGAAACACTGTCACAACATCTGAGTGTGTGAAACACTAACTCAATATCTGAGTGTGTGAAACACTAACTCAACACCGTCACATCATCTGAGTGTGTGAAACACTAACTCAACACCGTCACATCATCTGAGTGTGTGAAACACTAACTCAACACCGTCACAACATCTGAGTGTGTGAAACACCGTCACAACATCTGAGTGTGTGAAACACTAACTCAACACCGTCTCAACATCTGAGTGTGTGAAACACTAACTCAACATCTGAGTGTGTGAAACACTAACTCAACACCGTCACAACATCTGAGTGTGTGAAACACTAACTCAACATCTGAGTGTGTGAAACACTAACTCAACATCTGAGTGTTTGAAACACTAACTCAACACCGTCTCAACATCTGAGTGTGTGAAACACTAACTCAACATCTGAGTGTGTGAAACACTAACTCAACATCTGAGTGTGTGAAACACTAACTCAACACCGTCACAACATCTGAGTGTGTGAAACACTAACTCAACATCTGAGTGTGTGAAACACTGTCACAACATCTGAGTGTGTGAAACACTAACTCAACATCTGAGTGTGTGAAACACCGTCACATCATCTGAGTGTGTGAAACACTAACTCAACACCGTCTCAACATCTGAGTGTGTGAAACACTAACTCAACATCTGAGTGTGTGAAACACTAACTCAACACCGTCACAACATCTGAGTGTGTGAAACACTAACTCAACATCTGAGTGTGTGAAACACTAACTCAACATCTGAGTGTTTGAAACACTAACTCAACACCGTCTCAACATCTGAGTGTTTGAAACACTAACTCAACACCGTCTCAACATCTGAGTGTGTGAAACACTAACTCAACATCTGAGTGTGTGAAACACTAACTCAACATCTGAGTGTGTGAAACACTAACTCAACATCTGAGTGTGTGAAACACTAACTCAACATCTGAGTGTGTGAAACACTAACTCAACACCGTCACAACATCTGAGTGTGTGAAACACTAACTCAACACCGTCACAACATCTGAGTGTGTGAAACACTAACTCAACATCTGAGTGTGTGAAACACTAACTCAACACCGTCACAACATCTGAGTGTGTGAAACACTAACTCAACATCTGAGTGTGTGAAACACTAACTCAACACCGTCACAACATCTGAGTGTGTGAAACACTAACTCAACACCGTCACAACATCTGAGTGTGTGAAACACTAACTCAACACCGTCTCAACATCTGAGTGTGTGAAACACTAACTCAACATCTGAGTGTGTGAAACACTAACTCAACATCTGAGTGTGTGAAACACTAACTCAACATCTGAGTGTGTGAAACACTAACTCAACACCGTCACAACATCTGAGTGTGTGAAACACTAACTCAACACCGTCACAACATCTGAGTGTGTGAAACACTAACTCAACATCTGAGTGTGTGAAACACTAACTCAACACCGTCACAACATCTGAGTGTGTGAAACACTAACTCAACATCTGAGTGTGTGAAACACTGTCACAACATCTGAGTGTGTGAAACACTAACTCAACATCTGAGTGTGTGAAACACTAACTCAACACCGTCACATCATCTGAGTGTGTGAAACACTAACTCAACATCTGAGTGTGTGAAACACTAACTCAACACCGTCACATCATCTGAGTGTGTGAAACACTAACTCAACATCTGAGTGTGTGAAACACTAACTCAACATCTGAGTGTGTGAAACACTAACTCAACACCGTCACAACATCTGAGTGTGTGAAACACTAACTCAACACCAGCTCAACATCTGAGTGTGTGAAACACTAACTCAACACCAGCTCAACATCTGAGTGTGTGAAACACTAACTCAACATCTGAGTGTGTGAAACACCGTCACAACATCTGAGTGTGTGAAACACTAACTCAACATCTGAGTGTGTGAAACACTAACTCAACACCGTCACAACATCTGAATGTGTGAAACACTAACTCAACACCGTCACAACATCTGAGTGTGTGAAACACTAACTCAACACCGTCACAACATCTGAGTGTGTAAAACACTAACTCAACACCTGAGTGTGTGAAACACTAACTCAACACCGTCACAACATCTGAGTGTGTGAAACACTAACTCAACATCTGAGTGTGTGAAACACTAACTCAACATCTGAGTGTGTGAAACACTAACTCAACATCTGAGTGTGTGAAACACTAACTCAACACCGTCACAACATCTGAGTGTGTGAAACACTAACTCAACACCGTCACAACATCTGAGTGTGTGAAACACTAACTCAACATCTGAGTGTGTGAAACACTAACTCAACACCGTCACAACATCTGAGTGTGTGAAACAGTAACTCAACATCTGAGTGTGTGAAACACCGTCACAACATCTGAGTGTGTGAAACACTAACTCAACACCGTCACAACATCTGAGTGTGTGAAACACCGTCACAACATCTGAGTGTGTGAAACACTAACTCAACACCGTCTCAAAATCTGAGTGTGTGAAACACTAACTCAACATCTGAGTGTGTGAAACACTAACTCAACATCTGAGTGTTTGAAACACTAACTCAACACCGTCTCAACATCTGAGTGTGTGAAACACTAACTCAACATCTGAGTGTGTGAAACACTAACTGAACATCTGAGTGTGTGAAACACTAACTCAACACCGTCACATCATCTGAGTGTTTGAAACACTAACTCAACATCTGAGTGTGTGAAACACTAACTCAACACCGTCACAACATCTGAGTGTGTGAAACACTAACTCAACATCTGAGTGTGTGAAACACTAACTCAACATCTGAGTGTGTGAAACACTAACTCAACATCTGTGTTTGAAACACTAACTCAACATCTGAGTGTGTGAAACACTAACTCAACATCTGAGTGTGTGAAACACTAACTCAACACCGTCACAACATCTGAGTGTGTGAAACACTAACTCAACACCGTCACAACATCTGAGTGTGTGAAACACTAACTCAACATCTGAGTGTGTGAAACACTAACTCAACACCGTCACAACATCTGAGTGTGTGAAACACTAACTCAACATCTGAGTGTGTGAAACACTAACTCAACATCTGTGTTTGAAACACTAACTCAACATCTGAGTGTGTGAAACACTAACTCAACATCTGAGTGTGTGAAACACTAACTCAACACCGTCACAACATCTGAGTGTGTGAAACACTGTCACAACATCTGAGTGTGTGAAACACTAACTCAACATCTGAGTGTGTGAAACACTAACTCAACATCTGAGTGTGTGAAACACTAACTCAACATCTGAGTGTGTGAAACACTAACTCAACATCTGAGTGTGTGAAACACTAACTCAACATCTGAGTGTGTGAAACACTAACTCAACATCTGAGCGTGTGAAACACTAACTCAACACCGTCACAACATCTGAGTGTGTGAAACACTAACTCAACATCTGAGTGTGTGAAACACTAACTCAACACCGTCACAACATCTGAGTGTGTGAAACACTAACTCAACACCGTCACAACATCTGAGTGTGTGAAACAGTAACTCAACATCTGAGTGTGTGAAACACTAACTCAACACCGTCACAACATCTGAGTGTGTGAAACACTAACTCAACATCTGAGTGTGTGAAACACTAACTCAACACCGTCACAACATCTGAGTGTGTGAAACAGTAACTCAACATCTGAGTGTGTGAAACACTAACTCAACACCGTCACAACATCTGAGTGTGTGAAACACTAACTCAACATCTGAGTGTGTGAAACACTAACTCAACACCGTCACAACATCTGAGTGTGTGAAACACTAACTCAACACCAGCTCAACATCTGAGTGTGTGAAACACTAACTCAACACAGTCACAACATCTGAGTGTGTGAAACACTAACTCAACATCTGAGTGTGTGAAACACTAACTCAACATCTGAGTGTGTGAAACACTAACTCAACATCTGAGTGTGTGAAACACTAACTCAACACCGTCACAACATCTGAGTGTGTGAAACACTAACTCAACACCAGCTCAACATCTGAGTGTGTGAAACACTAACTCAACACCAGCTCAACATCTGAGTGTGTGAAACACTAACTCAACACCAGCTCAACATATGAGTGTGTGAAACACTAACTCAACATCTGAGTGTGTGAAACACTAACTCAACATCTGAGTGTGTGAAACACCGTCACAACATCTGAGTGTGTGAAACACTAACTCAACATCTGAGTGTGTGAAACACTAACTCAACACCGTCACAACATCTGAGTGTGTGAAACACTAACTCAACACCGTCACAACATCTGAGTGTGTAAAACACTAACTCAACACCTGAGTGTGTGAAACACTAACTCAACACCGTCACAACATCTGAGTGTGTGAAACACTAACTCAACATCTGAGTGTGTGAAACACTAACTCAACATCTGAGTGTGTGAAACACTAACTCAACATCTGAGTGTGTGAAACACTAACTCAACACCGTCACAACATCTGAGTGTGTGAAACACTAACTCAACACCGTCACAACATCTGAGTGTGTGAAACACTAACTCAACATCTGAGTGTGTGAAACACTAACTCAACACCGTCACAACATCTGAGTGTGTGAAACACTAACTCAACACCGTCACAACATCTGAGTGTGTGAAACAGTAACTCAACATCTGAGTGTGTGAAACACCGTCACAACATCTGAGTGTGTGAAACCCTAACTCAACATCTGAGTGTGTGAAACACTAACTCAACATCTGAGTGTGTGAAACACTAACTCAACATCTGAGTGTGTGAAACACTAACTCAACATCTGAGTGTGTGAAACACTAACTCAACATCTGAGTGTATGAAACACTAACTCAACACCAGCTCAACATCTGAGTGTGTGAAACACTAACTCAACACCAGCTCAACATCTGAGTGTGTGAAACACTAACTCAACACCAGCTCAACATATGAGTGTGTGAAACACTAACTCAACATCTGAGTGTGTGAAACACTAACTCAACACCGTCACAACATCTGAGTGTGTGAAACACTAACTCAACACCGTCACAACATCTGAGTGTGTGAAACACTAACTCAACATCTGAGTGTGTGAAACACTAACTCAACACCGTCACAACATCTGAGTGTGTGAAACACTAACTCAACATCTGAGTGTGTGAAACACTAACTCAACATCTGAGTGTGTGAAACACTAACTCAACACCGTCACAACATCTGAGTGTGTGAAACACTAACTCAACATATGAGTGTGTGAAACACTAACTCAACACCGTCACAACATCTGAGTGTGTGAAACACTAACTCAACACCAGCTCAACATCTGAGTGTGTGAAACACTAACTCAACACCGTCACAACATCTGAGTGTGTGAAACACTAACTCAACACCAGCTCAACATCTGAGTGTGTGAAAGACTAACTCAACACCGTCACAACATCTGAGTGTGTGAAACACTAACTCAACACCAGCTCAACATCTGAGTGTGTGAAAGACTAACTCAACACCAGCTCAACATCTGAGTGTGTGAAACACTAACTCAACACCAGCTCAACATCTGAGTGTGTGAAAGACTAACTTAACACCGTCACAACATCTGAGTGTGTGAAACACTAACTCAACATCTGAGTGTGTGAAAGACTAACTCAACACCGTCACAACATCTGAGTGTGTGAAACACTAACTCAACACCAGCTCAACATCT